CTAATAGGCTAATGGCAAGTTAATCAACCATTTAATCAATTAATTGGACGCTTTATCAGTTTATCGGCTACTCGGTGACACTATGAGCAGGGATTAATCGACAAGTTAACTGGTTAATCGGACGAATTCTTGAACGGGGTCTACAATGTCAAATACATTACGTATGATATTGCATCTTACGGTGAATCTAGCGATATACGTTTGACATTCTAGATTTAAATATTTTTCTCCCTAAAACTTGGTCAAAGTTTATCAAGTTTGACTTAAAAAAAATCTATATGCATTACATTATGGAACGGAAGTAGTATGAAGTTTTGGATATAGTACCTATACCCCCTATCACCGAGGTCGACAGCGGTAGGGTTGCACTATCTACAACATAATTTTTTTTCCGTTAACCCACGTCAGCCACACCTAACATTTGCCGTCGACTGCTGTTAACCCTACAGACAGGGCCTCCGGCGGCAGACAGTTATACCTACCCCATCGATTCCGACGGTAGAAAAAAGGTCAGACCCTGAATTATTTTTTTCAAACCAAGTTAAATCTTGCTTAACTTTTCCAAAAGGATCAAAGCAATTTGGCGGCGGCTGACAGCAAACCCAATCCGGTAGTACTCTCTTTCTCCGGCGCTAATCACAATGATTTTCACAGTAGAGTCTTGGCAAAAAAAAATTATATGAGACCAGGTTTCATATAAAGCAGGTGAGACCCGCCCTAATGGATGACACGTGGCATTCACAAATCACAAAGCATTTATCTAGATGCTTTGTGATTTGTGAACGTCACGTGTCATTTATCAGGATGGTCTTACCTGCTAACCTGGAAGACCTGTTCTCATATGATTCTTTTCCGGTCTTGGCCCCTTCCGCTGATCCTCATCTACAATGCAGACTATTTAGGGCCGCGGCAGCAGGGTGGGGAAACACAGCAGACGCCGTCGTTGCCCCTAGGCTAGCAACTCACTGCCAAGCCCACCTTTCCCCACTCTTCTCCAAGCCCCGGAGGTAAGGAACTGTGGCGACCCAAAAACCCTCATTTTTCTCTCCTCCTTCTTCTTCCTCATTAATCAGCGCTTTCTATCGTGTGAGTGAGATCCGGGCATTTCGTTGTGGTTCTTCTGCTCCCGGGTTCTGCTCTGCTTCTTGGTAGGGAGGGTGCGATCTTGACGACCCAAGCGCATCGATCTCCTCTGTTTTTTCTTTTGTTTCTTTTTTTTGTTTTCTGTTTTCCGTTTTGTGTTCTGTACTCCCTCTCCGCTTCTTCGTTTGATGTTAGTAGTCTCTAGTGCCGAGTAGTATTTGCGTGTCGTCGAGGTCCTCAACCCGCACCACCTCCCTCGCGCAATTTCCCCCTTGATTCCTTCTTCTTGCTCCGTTGCCCTTAGCCCTTTACCCTCTGTCTTTTTGTTTTGTTTTGTTTGAAAAAACCCTAATGTCGACTGTCGAGGATGGATTTTACCCTGTTTTTCTCCACACGCTGTCTCTTTCTTATGTCTCGTGCGACGCTCCAGAGTCTAGTCGTCCTAGATCTCTATCCACTGCAATTTCCTCGTAATTATATATAAAACTAAAAAGAATGGGAAGTTACTGCAGTTTAGTCGTTTTGAAGGGTGCTTGTACTAGTTGCTCCCAGATATCTTTCTCTCGTTGGAGTGTAGCACCAAATCTTACCCGGGTGTCTTTTCCCTTCTTTTCCCCTTACATAATCAATTAACAACTTTTTCATGGGTGCTTGCTGCCGAAATTGCTGAACTATTTTTTCGAGAATATTGCTGAACTTTTTGTGTGGTATGAGTAGGATCATAGAATTTTCTGCCAATTGCTTGTCAAATCAAATTATAATGATAGCAAGAAACACACTGTTGCAGTCTTTACTATCTTGTCAATGTCCAACTGACTGTTCCTGTACGCTATTGTCTGCTGATTTGCAAAGATTGTATATCCATTATGCATACAAATTTTTTAAGACTCAAATATGCAAGTGGGGCTTTAGTCAATGCTTAGGGTCATGTAGGCACTCCCTCGTTGGTTCTGGTTTATGTCCTTCCTTATATATACCTCTTCCCTGCCTCATTAATCAGTCCACACTGTCATTTGAACCTATCCTGTTACGAGCCAAGCATTCTTTCTTGTCTTGCATACTTGCATTCTTCTACTGTTGCTTTGCAATAAACATGTTATCAAGAATTACTTCTAGATTCGATATTGTTCTATATGATGTGGTTAATATTGTTAGTTTTTTGGCTTTCTTGTTTTCCGGAGTTCTAGTCAAAGCTCTTATAGTTGTTGTATTATGTATGCTAGTTATCTCTGAAGCCTTGTAATTATTATGAACAAATAGTTGCTATTTTTCGTGTGTGGTCGGAGTGGGACCATAGAATTGTCACCGACTGCACGTTAATCCATTGGAATCAATAATGATTGCAAGAAGCACAGTTGCAGTCTTTAGCATCTTACCATTGTCTAATCTACCTGTTCTGTACGAAGTTGTCTCCTTTACAAATAGCCTAAGCCATTGAAAGTGATTCATATGTTCTAAAGTTAGCTCGAATGCCCAAGTGGGCGATTAGTGAATTGCTTAGGATGCGTATACGCTTGCTGATTGGTCTCATTGGTCTCCATCCAAGTGGATACAGATAACAATGGGATAATTGAACAGGCTGCAGACCTGTAGTGCGCCCTTGCTTATAAGGCGCATTGCAGATGCCTGTCTTCCTTGTAAAGATCCACCCTGTTTCTAATTTGGCCCTATCCTTTTACCAGCTGAGCATTTCACTTTTGCCTTGCCAATTTAGATTTCGACTCAGGCATGTTCTATTGCATTCTTCCATTGATTGTTAGTATTGTTTTCAAGAATTTTGAGTTCTTTTGCTGTTCTGTTCTTGTGGTGTTCTACAGAAAGCTCTTATAGTTATGTATGTTCATGTCTGCAGCCTTGTAATTTTGTACAAACGAATTAAATCATTTTGCTCAAGTAAGTTAGAGATCTCAGTTTTGTTCACTGAGAAAATGAAAATCAAGCATCGGTAAAGCTGGATTTGGAGTAAATAGCTTTCTTTGGGTATATCTCTAGGTGTTTAGAGGCACAACTGTTTGTTTTGTTGGTCGATATGAGCATCATGCAACTTCTGAATGAGTTTATAAGGCGTTTGATTTTCCACCTATCTGAGTCTAGGGATGCTTGTGCTAGTTGCTGTCAGATATCTTTTCCCTCGTTGGAGTGTAGCACCAAATCTTACAGGGGTGTCTTTTCCCTAGTTTTCTCTTTGGATAATCAAATTAACTACTTGTTCATGGGTGCTTGCTGCCGAAATTGCTCAACTTTTTGTGTGGTATGAGTAGGATTATAGAATTTTTCCCGCAAAAAAAAAGGATCATAGAATTTTCTGCCGATTGCCTGTCAAATCAAATTATAATGATAGCAAGAAACACTGTTGCAGTCTTTACTATCTTGTCAATGTCCAACTGACTTTTCCTGTACGCTATTGTCTGCTGATTTGCAAAGACCATATAACCATTATACATCCCTGAAAGTGTTTAATACTCAAACATGCAAGTAGGGTATTAGTCAATGCTTAGGCTCATATAGGCACTCCCTGATTGGTTCTGCTTTATGTCTGTACAACGGGATAATTGAGCATGATGCCGGCTGTAGCACGTCTTGCTTATATATACCTCTTTCCTGCCTCATTAATCACCCCACCCCACCTTGTCATTTGAACCTATCCTGGTACGAGCTAAGCATTCTTTCTTGTCTTCCATACTTGCATACTTCTATTGTCTGCTTTGCAGTAAACAAGTTATCGAGAATTACTTTAAGATTCGATATTGTTCTATATGATGGGTTTAATATTGTTACATAGTTCTTTTGGCTTTCTTGTTTTCCGGAGCTCTAGCCAAAGCTCCAACAACTATGCATGCTAGTCAGCTCTGAAGCCTTGTAATGCTTATGAACGAGTAGTTGCTATTTTTTGTGTGTGGTGGGAGTGGGACCATATAATTGTCACCAATTGCAATTAATCCATTGGAATCAATAATGATTGCAAGAAGCACAGTTGCAGTCTTTAGCATCTTATCATTGTCTAATCTACCTGTTCTGTACGCAGTTGTCTCCTTAACAAATAGCCTAAGCCATTGAAAGTGATTCATACGTTCTAATGTTAGCTCGAATGCCCAAGTAGGTGATTAGTGAATTGCTTAGGATGTGTATACGCTTGCTGATTGGTCCCAATGGTCTCCATCCAAGTGGATACAGATAACAATGGGATAATTGAACAGGCTGTAGACCTGTAGTGCGCCCTTGCTTATAAGGCGCATTGCAGATGCCTGCCTTCCTTGTAAAGATCCACCCTGTTTCTAATTTGGCCCTATTCTTTTAGCAGCCGAGCATTTCACTTTTGCCTTCCAATTTAAATTTCGACTCAGCATGTTCTGTTGCATTCTTCCATTGATTGTTAGTATTGTTTTCAAGAATTGTTAGTTCTTTTGCTGTCCTATTCTTGTGGCGTTCTACAGAAAGCTCTTATAGCTATGTATGTTCATCTCTGCAGCCTTGTAATTTTGTACTACAAACGATTTAAATCATTTTGCTCAAGTAAGTTGGAGATCTCAATTTTTTTCACTGAGAAAATGAAAATCAAGCATCAGTTAAGCTGGATTTAGAGTAAACCGATTTCTTTGGGTATATCTCTAGGTGTTTAGAGGCACAGCTGTTTGTTTTGTTGGTCGATATGAGCATCATGCAACTTCTGAATGAGTTTATAAGGTGTTTGACTTTCCGTCTATCTTGAGTCTAGGGATACTTGTTGATTTAATAATGTGTCAAAATTTGGACAGAAGCATTTATTGTCATGTAGTTGCTATTGGTGATTTACTTTCAGAAAAAAGAGTTAATGGCTTATGCATATCATCATTGTAGACATCTTTCTTATTACTTTGTTGATCTTAATATTATATGAAATATCCAGGTGCTACGGGAAGTGATCGGAAGCCTGCAGTATGGGCAATCTGTGCTGCTGCGTTCAAGTTGATCAGTCTACCGTGGCCATCAGAGAGCAGTTTGGGAAGTTTGACAGTGTGCTTGAGCCAGGATGCCACTTCCTGCCTTGGATCTTTGGGAAGCGTGTAGTTGGCCATCTCACACTCAGGTTGCAGCAGCTGGATGTGCGCTGTGAAACTAAGACAAAGGTTTATCACTTCATCTTAATACCCAGTTACAAAATGGATGCTTTGGTGACTTTTATTTCTAAAGAAAATGGTGCCATCGTTTTTGTCCCAACAGAAATTTCAAAGTTTAATGTTGCATCTTATAGTAGGTCTTTGTGGGCTGTAAATCACCTGAATCCCTGTTTGAACAAACATTGCTTTTCCTGTTACCTTCTATGTAAAATGAACGGCACTGAAAGTTGAATATAAAATTATATTGGTAGTTAGTTACTCCCTGCAACTTCTAAATTTTAGCATTTTGGTTTGCCATATGGACATAATCCTAAAGCGACTGCCGCATGAGATTAAGAAACGTTCCCGTATAACTATACTCCCTCCATTCCCTTATACAAGGCCACAAACTCATATTACAGGTACCAAGATAAAATTTAATGACTCCTTTGCAAGTCAACTTTTCTTTTAGTTAACCGGGATCATTAATACACCACAAGCATGCAACGAATGAATGGGAAGGAAGTGGTGGAGTGTCATTATGACTACATGCATGTAAGTATTAAAAAGTTGCTAGTACGAGGAAACATCATTAAATTTTGCCTCGATTACTGTTGGTGGCCTTGTATTGATGCAAAATGTATTTTTGATAGTGGCCTTGTATAAGGGAATGGAGGGAGTACTTACTACTCCCTCCGTCCCGTAATATAAGACGTTTTTTGACACTACACTAGTATCCAAAAACGTCTTAAATTATGGGATAGAGGGAGTAATTATTAATCCTTTAGTGACCTAATTAAGTATCCAAAAGGTCACATTGCCAATGATACTGTGTTCTGTATTTTCTTCTGCTATTAAGAATTAGCGTGATGTTGCTGACATGTGAAGTTCTACAGGACAATGTGTTTGTTACTGTTGTTGCATCAATTCAGTACCGACCTCTGGCTGGCAAAGAAAGTGACGCATACTACAAACTGACCAACACAAGATCCCAGATTCAGGCCTATGTTTTTGATGGTAGGATGTCTTGGAATAAGTGAAGATTTCTATACGCTGTTTCAGTAGCTTAGTATATTCATATCATCACTGATACAACTGAATGTAATTTGTTAACCATATCCCACTATTCCTCCTGTATCCACTAATTTGGGGCACTGATTGATATCTACAGTGATCAGGGCAAGTGTTCCAAAGCTCAACCTGGATGATGCTTTCGTGCAGAAGAATGATATAGCACAGGCTGTGGAGGATGAACTTGAAAAGGCTATGTCGGCATATGGCTTTGAGATCGTGCAGACCCTCATTGTCGACATCGAGCCAGATGCGCATGTCAAGCAGGCGATGAATGAGATTAATGCAGGTTATTTGCTAAAGCCCTGACGTGATGAAAGTTGGACACTTGTACTTAAATCTGGCCTCCATCATAGTACTGACATGATACTTGTGCCTTTTGCAGCTGCAAGGATGAGGGTGGCTGCAAACGAGAAGGCGGAGGCTGAGAAGATTGTCCAGATCAAGCGTGCCGAGGGTGAAGCAGAGGCCAAGTACCTGTCTGGCCTGGGTATCGCCCGCCAGCGCCAGGCCATTGTGGATGGCCTGAGGGACAGCGTCCTGGGCTTCTCAGTCAATGTGCCTGGCACCACTGCAAAGGACGTGATGGACATGGTGCTGATCACCCAGTACTTTGACACTATGAAAGAGGTCGGCGCGTCCTCCAAGTCCTCGGCGGTGTTCATCCCCCATGGCCCTGGCGCGGTGCGCGACATCGCCACGCAGATCCGCGACGGTCTTCTTCAGGGCCAGTCTGCCTCTGACAACTAAGCACTTTGCTTCGCCGGCATGAACTTTGAAGCTGGTGGTGGTTTGTGGTTTGCTAGCTATTGCCTACAGTACTGTCTAATATGATGCATGCCGTATGATTATGACTTATCTGGAACCATATGTGGATCGTGGCTTAGGTCGATGTGCGGTAACAAAACCTTTAACCTATTGGGAATGCAGGATGATATAAGTGTGTTATGAAATGCTGGTGATGAACTTGATCTAAGCTTCTTTTATTTTGCCTTTTAGTGCTGTCAATTGCATGTAAAATGCTGGTTTAAGGTTACATATTTCTCATGGGCGATTTCTTCTGAGATGCCTTTCCTGTTTTGCGAGGGGATGTGAGGATGAATGTTTATTCATGATTTACTGGAGCCCGAGCGGGTAGGTTCCACCTCAAGGTTTCACAGGTGCTCGTTAAACTTTGAGATGAAGGAAACTTTTAACGTTTTCAAGTGGTGGCCATCTTAGCTGATATAAGGAACTTAGAAAGAATTTTATTTGTTTTAACTTCAACTTTGTACATACATGTGGCAATGTTGCCGCTGATTTACGTGCAAAGTACTCGTGATCGTGGACAAAAAGCGTGGAAACACAATGCACACGGGATTCTCCATAACTAGAAGTGTTGGGCACGCTTTGCTGCGCCGTTGGTGTTGTTGGGTTTCTTCAAAAAATGATCACTCTGTTTCAAAATATATGATATATTGCTTTTTTGAAAGTCAAACCTTTTAAGTTCAATAAAAATTTAGAGAAATATATCAAAATTCATAATATCAAATCAGTATTTTTAAATTCATCATGAAATGAATTTCCATACTTTTTGTTTAATATTGTGGATGTCGATATTTTTGCTCTGAACTTGGTCAAAGTTGAAGAAATTTGACTTCTACAAAACCAATACTACCCCTCATATTTTGGAACCGATGGAATATTTAGTTTGATGGGTGGTGGAAATGATAGAGTGTGTTTTATTTTTATTTATAATGCGGTGATTTGGTGGGTCTTTTGTGGTGTTATTCCGAGTTACCCGTTAACCAATCTATATTTATGTGGGAAAATTTTGATGCCGGTGGTCGCATGTACTACTATATTGGTGGTACAATATCACATGATGATACTTCTTTTTTCCGGGTGATGGAAGGATGCGCGGGATTGATATGTTTTTATAGGTCAGTTGCTGCTTGTTGATTTGAAAAATCGTTGGCCGGGTCAAAATAGTAAACCAAATCCAAAATTACCTTAATTGAATGAAAGAGTTTCAAAATTAGGGAACATACTGAATTAAAATAATTGAACGGGAGAGCTTGAACAAGTGTTGAACCTGTCAAAATGGGTTCACCCAATTGTAAATTAAATACCTCAATTAATTGTGAAACCTTAAAAATTAGGAAGCATATTGTATAGTATAAAAGAATTGAATAAGAGAGCTTTGAGAAACTGTTGACCCGGTTAAAATTAGGTGGCCCAATTTTAATTGGAGACCTTAATTGAATGTGGGCTATTTAAAACTAGAGAGCTTAGTGTTATAGAGGATTGCCTATAATCTGATAGTAATCCTACTGCTATGGAATGAGAATGCTTATTTAATTGCAAAAAAGATGGAGTATCTCACAGCGCCATTTGAAAGTCTTCCTGTGCAACACCCAATATTACGTTCATGTGCAACACCCAATATTACGTTTCTAATTCAGTAGAATGCTCATTTAATCAAAGGAGTCAAAGAAGGCTTTCCTGCGGAGGTCCCAGTGCAGTAGATAGGCAGTAGTAAGGCTTACATGTATATGGTGGTGTTGGGCGAAAATCGCGTGTAAATAGACTATAAAACTGTGGAGTCTTGGGAGTCTTCTCCCCTTCTTCTTTAATGAATGATACGCACACTCGTGCGTATTCGAGATTTTGTTAATAGGAGCACGCTAAGAGTAGAAGATAACCACATTATGGTTGAGATGGATGGGCTCGAGTCGGGCCCGACTTTAGGAGTACAAGATAACCACATCACGTTTGGTACATGGGCGTAAAGTCAGGTATGGATGTAGATTAGCAACACACACTCACACGAGCTCTCTATGTGAAACATGCTCTCACACTCGCGATGCTTAGGTGATGGGACGGCGTTGCTGAATCATAAAAGTTGGTATGCATGATGGGCAGCGAGATCGAGCACCCAGAGCTTTAAATGAGCGGAGTACCGGAAAAAGAAGATTTTGGACTTTCTGCCCACAAAAAAATAGTAGCATTTGTAACTGGAACGATTTACTTTGGATCGTAAATCCCCAAGGGAGGGCTATAATCCAAACAAAGAAGGAGCTAGCGGATAGTTTGAAATTTCAATGATTAGGGGGGGGGGGGATGAAACACTTGTCTTTCACAATTAATTCTTTCTTTTTTATGTTTAGGACACGCGAAATGATAGCGAAACTCGATATGAGGAGAAAGTTTGGCAAAAGAGGTTGAACAAGAGGAATTGTTGTCTAGCAGGCCTCCAGCCCGACCTCCAGCAAGCCTTGCAACATCACGCCAATAGAATGAGAGAGGTGTGTGAGCGGCGGCAAGCGTAGTCGTGGATCAACCAAACTATCGTCTATAATGTCGTGACAACACTTTGAAATGAGTTTATTGCGAAGCACGCCACCGACCGAGAGGCATCGAAGGATCTCGTTGACGTGGCCATCGGGGATTTATAGTGTGACCTCTGTTGGCCACCATGTGGGATGATGGTTACTGTTATGTGTGATTGTGATGGAATGGAGACGAGAGATTTGTTTTCTTTGGATTTGGGACCTAGGCGGAACGCTTAAACCCAGTCGCAAGACATTGTCGGTGCGATGTAGTCTGCTAGACTGACTATGTGGCGTAGGCCGAGCCATGAGGGCTATATGGATTCGAACCGTAGACCTTCACACTAAAACAGATTAAACGGATTACAAAATAATTTGAACTGTCTCAAAGACCGAACATGCATTTTTTTTTTACATCGGGCTCTTTCATAAACTTATTTAAAGATCAATTAGTGCACCATAGTTTTTCTCACGGAAAGATAATGAGATGGTTCTTATGTGCTCTGATAATTATTTTTTGTATTATGATCTATCTAGGAGCACTACCATAGTGTTTTTTGAAGGAAGATTAGATCTAGATGTTGGGGAAATAACATTAATAAATTTATACTAGACTTTTATACTTCATTAAAAAATTGTTACATACTCCAGTATTAAATGGTACAATCTAATGAACACAATTTTCTATACTTAGCAACCATTGCTAACCACATAACAATGTTGTTAATAATAGTTGTAGTTTTCTTATTATACGGTTCACCTGTATCTCTGGAATTTTATTGTGCTAATTCATATGTTGTAAAAAAAGTTCTCTACAAATTAAAATTTAAAAGTTGTATAAATTATATAGTGTATACATATATATTTGTATGTATGCGCATATGTGCATGTATATTTTAGTATGATTAAATATCATGACAAAAAAATTGAAAGCGCATACTCTAGCAACTATCTAGTGGTTTATAGTGTATTATTAGTTAAGATATTCATAGGAAGTTCTAGAGTATGACAGGTGTAAGTTGATAACATGTGCATGTTTTGTACGTGTTTTTAAAATAGCATCCTTATTGTAACCAAAGTTTTTCATCTTGTTACTCATGTGCATTAATCTTTGTCAGCAAATCCATTTTAGGCATATATAATATGATAAATCTAGACTAATTTATCTCTAATCTAAGTGCCTAGGTTATCCAACCAAGAATCCAGTTTTGTCATATCATCTAATCTAGAAAGATCACATTTGCATTACCCCAAAACATGTTTGTTTCCTTGAAATTACTTTAGATAGGTAATAATCCAACCGTCCACAAATTTCCATGATCGTTGATTAAGTATGTCAATTTCTTACATGTTTATCGATCATGATAAATCCTAGGTGACATCAAAGAGTTTTGACTTGTAAATCTATTGACCCCTTTATCAAGACCATTGCACATATTATGTTCTATCCAAATCCCAGTTACTTCACAAAATTAATTTTCTATACCAAGATCACCATCAATTTCACTTCAAATTTGGACCACAACTTGATATTACAATATTATAGACCAAGGCCTTGTACAATGCAAGGTACTTAGTAAATAAACTGAGTTTTCAATAAGCACCAGAGATTGTCTCTATAGGAGTGGTGCCTAATTAAGTGTCTACCCTTGATAAATAAGCACCGGTGCTTAAAAAACTAGTTTATCTCTCTAAGCACCTTGCATTGTACAAGGCCTAATACAATTTATGTTCATCTTGTTATGTAACCATTTGTATTTTTTAAATTTTCTTGAATTTTCAAAAAGGTGCCATGTGTAAAGCCTTTCAAAAATATTTTCCTAAAATGATCCAAACTTTTTCTACATGCAACATAGTACAATACATTGTTCTTCTCAATTTTAGGCATTTTTTCTGAGTACGGCTATATGTAAGCATGAATGAATTGTAGGTATTTATTACTGATAATCTAATTTTGAACTACATGTATCTTAAAAAAAAATCTTGGAATGGAACATTATACTATATTGAAGTACTTATGTACCACTATAGCGCCTAATCATAAAATATATACAAATTTCAAACAATTACTTGGGAAAATACAAACATTTGTTTGCATGTTAATGGTTTTGTATTTTTTTTGTAAATATGGTCAAAATATGAAAATTGACATGGGGTCATGTTATAACCTCATACCATGTGCCTAAATTTCATAAAAGTTGAACTATACATGATTTCTAACTAAGGCATCTCCTAGAAATAATCATAGGATTGAAAAACAAAGTGTGAGGTTTTGGTGAGGATATCTGATGTGCGGCAAGCCGTGTAGGTGGCCCCATCTTCAGATTGGAGTGGAATTTGAGGAGGATTCATCAAGAACACGGAGCAAATCTACACGAAAACACACTACTACAGAACCGAACATCATTGTGCGACCAATTTGTATCATCAAAGATGAGT